TGGGTTAATGAATGGATTTTGGATTGATCTACAAATATTCATTTTCCAAAGTTCAATAGATACTAGAAAACGTTTCAACCCAGATAACATCAAAAAAGTGACAGAAATTAAATTAACATAAAAATTAAACTTTTTCATTGTTGTTTTAGATACTTTTTTTTTCATAAAAATAGGTTATAAAATAATTACTTTATTATTTTATTAAAAATGATAGTAATTATTATTTTAAATGATTAAAATAGGGTTGTGAAATATTATTTATATTAAGGGAAACATTTATAGAAGGTTTTTGCATTTTAAAAGTACAGTGCCTAAAATTAGTGGGCGACTTTTAAAGTATTAGGGCGGAAATAGTAAAAATTATGAAGCCCCTGTTTTTTCCTTAATTCGAAGAAAATGTTATTGTTTTTTTTTGTTTTATATAACACAAAATTTATTATTGTTTTTAATAACACGAAAACATTTAATAACACTTTGTAAAAATAGTAATTCCATCTATACATTTAATCTAATCAATATTTTCAAGTTCCAAAAAATCAATAGCTATTTTTCTTGAGCTTTTCTTCTTTGGTTTTTCTAAAAAGTGAGTAAACGGTTTCTAATTTACAAAACAAAACAAACCTAGCAGTGATGTTTCCTTTTCTCTGTTTTATTATTTGTTTTTTTCTAATTCCAGTTTGAAATAAGTGGTTTTTGATTTTAGTAAATTTAATTATAAAAAACTATTCAAGAAAAAATCAAATAAAATTAAGTTTTTTCATCATTTCTGGAATCCATATGTTTAAGAATTCATTGTGATTGAACAGCTTATATTCAATATTGTTGTTGCAGTATTTTTCGATTGATTCCATTTCTCTATATCCACATTCAAAACCATTCGGTTGAATTGAACTTGATTTTTTTAACATCATTTATTTTTTTGGATTTTTTATTTCCTCCCTTTTTCTTTTAAGATTTTGTTTTTTTTTCGAAAATCTTTTTGATTGGCTAAATATTTTTTTTCTAAAAATACTTTAATTATGATTTGAATTTCGCTCGGGAAATGGTCCTAATCATTAGGGGGTTTTACTAAAGTCGGGGACTCACTTTAAAAGTCGCCCACTCATTTTAGGCACTGTATTGTAATTTTACTTTATTTAAAAAAATACTTTGTTTGTTTTTTTTGTAGCAATAAAATTAAAATTAAAATTGAACAATTTGGATGTTAAATAAACGGTTTATTTTATTAAAAAAACGAGTGAATAATTTGAAACAATTAATTTGTGTTTAACTTATATTATAAATTTATCTTGTTATTCTTTTTCAAAAAATACTTGGCTGACATACTTTATATATATATATATATTTATATTTTCATTGTTTCACAATAACACCTTAATAATAATATTACACCAAAAGTTATAAAAAATAAAATAATCTAAAATTTTTGTTTAATCCGTTAATTATAGTTTAATCGATTTAAAAATCATTTGCTTTTTAAAAAATTTTTTTTGTTAATAATAATATAAACAATAAAATGAGGCGACACTTGTTTGAGATGCATTATTTGGATAAAACTAAATATTGGCCACCTTGGTATTGAAATAA